TAACCGCTACTAACCCGCTGACTGCCAACTAACTGCCCCTGACAACCATTCACTCCAGCTTTTATACCGCATTCGACCTTGGGATAACAATACACAAACACACCGGGGTTAACAATATTCTAGGGTAAACTCAACTCACACACTCACTCTCCCCTAATTCTAGATCATTCTATCCTATTCTAATCTAACCTACACTGACCCGTAACAGTATTTTATCAAAATCGTAGATCCGTATCAATTTTCAAGCGATTTCCGATAACCGGAAGTGGTACTTTTTCGACTTTGAATTTTACAAAAGCCTATAACTTGAGTACTATTTTAGATAGATAAACGAAATTTCACATGTAAGTAAAAGATCTAATTCTCTACCTTCTTTCAAATTTTGAGTAATTTCCGTTGAACGGAAGTACTAATTTATGCTATTTCCGATTTCTCAAAAAACGCATGTAAATTTATAAAGTACTAATAATATTGCGCACTATTATGCACATTTTGTTTTGGCGTTCGCTTGGTGCGCAATTCTTTTTCTATGAGATTCTATTCTATTTTTAAAAGTTTAAGTAATTAAAAATCATGTCTATATTCCAAGTTATATAAGAATATTCGAGAAAGTTTAGGGGAGATCTCTCCCGGTTTATTATTATTTGTAGGATACAGGAAAGTATAGGATAGAAGATCCACCATTATAACAAACACACATTTTACAATAGATTTCGGGCCCCTAACCAACGCTATGAAGAAGTACCGTACATCATGAAAGTCCACTACACATCCAGCGGCGTCGTGAGCTATGGACTCTCTTTCCCCCCCCCTCCCCCCCCCCCCCCCCTCACCCCCAAAAAAAGGAATGTTGCTGGCGAAAGCGTATGTGTGATTGGTGCAGAAAGAAATCTCGGCCTTCACAAGTTTAAAAATACGGTTATAAATAGGTAGTCCAAACTGGCGAAAAAGTGCGTTTTAGGGTCAGTTTTTGCGGTTTTCAAAAATAAAATTTCACTACTTCTAGTTGTCCTATAAGAATAAAAATTATATGTCAATAAAGTTTAAGCCTTTATCTGTCGTAATCTGGTATTTTTATATCTGTAACACATGTTTGAATGTGTTTTATATTTGTTTGAAAAGTATCAGTTACGTCAACAAATTTCACCGTTTTGCGTGTACCGATCGACCCCACACTGTTTCATTTGGTTGCGGCTTCGCGACGAAGCATCGTAGAAGCATAATCTTAATGTCATTTTAAAGAGCGAATTCTAGTCTATCGTTTGATGTATAAATAGAAAAAATAACTTGCTTATTTCATTTTAAAAAATCAGTTTTTAAACTTTAAATGACGATATATACACGAAAACAAACTAATTCTGTTTCAATCTTTACACCGATGTAAAGTTCACTTTTATAACTACTTTGTGTTGTAAATTCAAGTCTTTCTGATTTACGGTCGCGAAGCCGTACCCTCAATAAGCATATAACCCTCGAGTCAACTTTCAGCCCCGAGTCAGTTGCTCGCCGAACGGTTTTAAAGGTTGACGACCGATGATGCTAAACGGATTTTACCCCTGCTAGAGCCTTCAAACAAGTTGTAAGTATCATTTTTAAAGTTTCATTTCCATTTTAATAAATGAATTTTAAGTTTGAATGTCAGTTTGGTTTAATTAGCACACGTTATTAATGTAAATTTGAACCCTACTAGTCCACGGTTTTAGCGCGTGAACTACGCTTGTACACATGGTGTGTTTAAACGTGAAGCTATTTAATTCAGGACATTCTAGGGACTTAAAATATGGATGCACTTAACTATTAGATGCTAGTGTTTACTAATTCTTTAAAATCTATCGAATGGGTTTAATGATAGGGTCGTATTACTACAGTTTATCTGGACTATCGCGTCAAAATTATGAATCGACAAATTCAAAATGGCCACCAGACATTCTTGGTTACTATGTGGACGAACTCAATTATTTACAGGGAACGAAGGTTAAATACTTATAAAATATTGAAACTCAAAAGAAACTTATAATTGTAATAACTATACATTTTTATAAATTTATTTAAAACAAAAGACACTAAATTTTAAGGACTAATGTGATTAATTTTTAATTTTCTGTTGTGCACTTTGTGATTCTGATTCCCCTGCTGAATAATGTGAAATGGTCTGCGCCAGTCTCTTTGATAAAATGTACCAGATCAATTTTTAGATGGTGGTGCAATTTAATAAGATTGTACATGTTGTGACTTAGTTTTAAATGTTATATTAGTTGTAAGTGTAAGTAGTACTAGTAGTATTTCTCATTATTTATTTATTTTATATGTATATAGTAACACTGAAGGACAGTTAAGTTGTCCTATATGATGTTGAGAACCACAGTATGGCATCTTCATCATTGGATATCTCAACCATTGTGGCACAAACAACGAATATTTCATTCAATAGAATTAATGTTCAAAATATACTATCAAGTATACATTTCTTTAAACAAAAAGGTGTTTTCAGGCTTTTTCATGTTTCCAGCTACAGTCACAGGATAAATAGTAGGCCTACACAATAGGCTAGTAGTAAATCTAATTATATTTTATTAATCACTAAATCAATTATTTATTCCATAGCTGGAGACATTTATAGTGGCCTATCCAGAACTTTCCTTACAAGGGAAGGGAAGAAGGCCAAGCCCCCCCCCCCAACTACAGTTCCCAAAACATATCACTTACTCTTGATGCTCCACAAGATCAAGGTTGGGGGAAACAAGACATACAAAGATGTGGAGTTGTCGTTTTAAAAACTGTTCCCCCAAAGCAGTTATCAACCCAATAGGTTTGAATGTAGCAGCAACTGCTGCATTACTTGTAGGCATCACGTCTTTATTAGATTACATTACATTACTCCACTAAATTTTGATTCTGTTTCTCCTGCTCTAGATAACTGTGGCATTTTTTAAAAATAATATTTTAACTCATGTGATTTTTGAAAATAATGAACACATTATTCCTGTTAATGTTACCAACAAAATAGTTTTAGAGTTATTCTATGTCCAAAGCAAAAAAAAAAAAATAATTATGAAAATAAAAGTGACCAAAACGCATTTTTGTCATTTTCAATTATTTTTTTTACCTTAGAAAGACTCATTTTAGATAACTGAAAAAAATTGGGCATATATATTACAAACTTTGCAGTAACTTTACCAATTTCTACACTTCTATGTTATTTAGTTTAGAAAATATGGGTTCTCAAAAATGGCACTTTTTAAAAATCAGTTTTTTACCAAATTTTGCTTTTTTAAAAATCGCATAACTTTTTTATTTATTAAGATATTTTTATAAACTTTGTGGCATAGAGCTTACAATTAAAAGTTCTTTCATGACATACTCACTCCAGAAGTCTGCAATCAATAGTTAATTTAAGTTTGGACTACCTATTATAAATAACACTTTGACACTACAGTTTGTGTAGTGGTCTAAAATGTTTGCGAACAGCATGGTACACATTTTATGGGTCTTCATTGACCAGGTACAAATTTTAGGTGAACGGAAAAAAAAGTCACAGGAAAAAAAAACGCAGAAAAAAGTCACAGTTTTTGCTAGGAAAAAAAGTCACAGAAAAAAAGTCACAATGGAAATATTTTATCGGAAAAAAAAGTCACAGAAATAAAGTCACAGAAAAAAGTCACAAAAATCTTTTTACAAATATTTTGATTTAGCCTATTTGTTTGAAAATTGTAAAATTGTGTATGTTTATTGTTGTGGGTTATATTTTTTATAGCATAAATTATTTATAGACGTTAAAAGCATTATGGTTTATATCATTTGTAAGTAAAAATACTCTAAGATAATTTATACAACAATCTCAACTTTTGTTACGTATTTAGTTAAATACTCGGTAGAAAAGTTAATTCTAAAAGAAATTTAAGCACATCGTGTTTTGCATATGTTTTGCCGTAGGCTATTCTCTGGTCGGCCTCTCCTCAGTAGACCTTGTCCGAACATATTGTGTGCTGTTGACGTTTTGTGTCAATGCAGCTTTTGAACCTTGTCGGCTTTCTGTTTTGATCCTAAAGCGCGTTATAAATGTGGGCATTAAAGGTGGTTGAACTAAGCATAACCATTGTTGCGATGAGTTGAGGGCAGCGAGTCAGATGAACTTACCATTTCATGGTAAATTAATATTGCTATATAAAAAAATAACGCGATGAAAACCGTGAAGTTTGGAGCATTCTATTACATTTTATTAATATTATATTTAACATAATTACAATATACAAACTTCATACTAAATATTTTTAGATGAATTATAAAAATTACTATGCTTATACAACCTACACACATCACATTACATTTAATTAATCCTATGTTAATTTGCACTCTCTAAATATTTAATACATTAAAGTATTAACAAATTTCATGCAAATATATGTCTTTTTTTCCTGTGACTTTTTTTCCTGTGACTTTTTTTCTGTGTTTTTTTTCCTGTGACTTTTTTCCTACAATCCAATTTTATGGGTGTTCATCGACCAGGTACACATTTTATGAGTGTTCATTGACCAGCTACAAATCAGGTGAGTGTTCCTTGACCAGGTACACATTTTATGAGTGTTCATCGACCAGGTACAAATCAGGTGAGTGTTCATTGACCAGATACACATTTAATGGGTGTTCATCGACCAGGTACAAATCAGGTGAGTGTTCATTGACCAGATACACATTTAATGGGTGTTCATTGACCAGGTACACATTTAATGGGTGTTCATTGACCAGGTACAAATCAGGTGAGTGTTCATTGACCAGGTACAAATCAGGTGAGTGTTCATTGACCAGATACACATTTAATGGGTGTTCATTGACCAGCTACAAATTTTGACCACAGAGTCCAAGGTACCAGTCAGCACCACCTCCTTTATCCGCCATATTTTGTGTGGCCGGATCTGTGTAGACACACACACACACAAACACACACCCAACACACATTACACTACACAACACACACGTACACACACAAAGACAACCGATGATTGGTTTACAAAATGTCTTTATTCCAAGATTGTATTCTGAGGTTCACCTCCCACGACAATCACTACAAGGGATGCAACTTGTCCTCTCCCTGGTCGTGTCTTAACGTCCGAACCCAGTCCAGGCCTGGCCGCCAGCATGTACAGGGAGGGGCGGGGCTGGGTATACGCCCCTGTAAGGCTGGAAGCTCTGACCAGGGTTCGAGCCTCTCTGGGGTTGCTGGTTGCTGGTGTCAGGGTTTCCACTTTTCTGGGATGGTTGGTCGTCCGAACCTCCACCTAATAACGCACCCAAAAGACCCCCTTTGCTACCACCTAATAGCCCACCCAAAAGACCCCCTTTGTCACCACCTAATAGGCCAGCGACCCCTGTTAGTATTTCCTTGACCGTAGTACACAGCACGCTATCTGCAAGAAATCAAATGACGTCAATAAATAGCACGCTATCTGCAAGAAAATCAAATCACATCAATATACAGCATGCTATCTACGCATAACCCACCGTTGTTGGGTAGTTTGTAAATCCCCGTCCGTCCGTCCCAACTATCGGTGCCGTTGATGTTAATGTGGTGGTTCCAGTTCCTGTTGGTGTTGTTGCCGGGCCGGTTCCAGGGGTAGTACGGGGGCGGGTACAAGGGGAGGCCGTTAGCGCCGTACGCCGTGGCGCCCCCCGAGGCCCCGCCTGTGTAGTAAACTTGGCTGCCGAACAAGTTGTCTAAACCTGGGAAACATTAGGTCAACGTAAACTTGGCTGCCGAACAAGTTGTCTAAACCTGGGAAACATTACGTCAAGTTTTGGCTGCCGAACAAGTTGTCTAAACCTGGGAAACATTACGTCAAGTTTTGGCTGCCGAACAAGTTGTCTAAACCTGGGAAACATTACGTCAAGTTTTGGCTGCCGAACAAGTTGTCTAAACCTGGGAAACATTAGGTCAACGTAAACTTGGCTGCCGAACAAGTTGTCTAAACCTGGGAAACATTACGTCAAGTTTTGGCTGCCGAACAAGTTGTCTAAACCTGGGAAACATTAGGTCAAGTTTTGGCTGCCGAACAAGTTGTCTAAACCTGGGAAACATTAGGTCAAGTTTCAACAAGGCGTTCAAAGTTCGACTCCCCCGTTCACCTGACCCCTGTATTATCCTGCCCCCCCCCCCCCATCTACTTACCACCAAACGCCCCATATACTACTGGCATGGTGTACTGATCGAAGATGTAGGAGACGGCAGTTAGTTCAAAGTTCGTCTCCCCCGTTCTCCTGACCCCTGTACTATCCTGGTCCCCCCCCCCCCCCCCATCTACTTACCACCAAACGCCCCATATACTGCTTGCACGGGGTACTGATCGAAGATATAGGAGACGGCAGTTAGTTCAAAGTTCGTCTCCCCCGTTCTCCTGACCCCTGTACTATCCTGGTCCCCCCCCCCCATCTACTTACCACCAAACGCCCCATATACTGCTTGCACGGGGTACTGATCGAAGATGTAGGAGACGGCAGGTAGCTCAACTGGGCTGGCCTGAATGTTTCCATTAAAGCCAAGACTTGCACCTGTGCAGATAGTCAACCAACACATCACTTACGATCATCTATCTATCTATCTATCTATCTATCTATATAATTCTTTTCATAGTTACTTTGTTGCGGTTGCCTACTGCTGGCTAAAACAACAGATATATTGACAAAACAAACTTGCCTACTGCCGGCTAAAACAACAGATAAATTGACAAAAAACTTGCCTACAGCCGGTTGAAATAACAGATAAATTGACAAAAAACTTGCCTACTGCCGGTTAAAATAACAGATAAATTGACAAAAAACTTGCCTACTGCCGGCTGAAATAACAGATAAATTGACAAAAAAAAAACTTGCCTACTGCCGGCTGAAATAACAGATAAATTGACAAAAAAAAACTTGCCTACTGACGGAAAAATCGGGTAGATGGCCTGTGGTTGTGCTGAGATAGTCTGAAGGACCAGCGAGCAGACGATTAGAATCAGCATCTGTAGGAGGAAGATTTGAAACATGGTGAACATTTTTTGGAACATCATGTGGAACATGTTGGGGAACATGATTCAGAACATGTTGAGGAACATGTTGAGAACATGTTGAGCAACATGATTTAGAACATGTTGAGGAACATGATTTGGAACATGTTGAGGAACATGATTTGTTATATGACGAGGAAGAACATGATGGGGAACGTGGAATAAATAAAATGGAAGAAATATGACTTTCATTTTATAATTCATCATCTTCATCATTCCTGTGGACTTCTTTAATGAACATAGGGACGGAACTACACCCATTCGCGCTTGTTTCTGTGCGATTCCTCCAAGCTGGGCCCACGACATTCCTCCAAGTTGGACCCACGACATTCATCCAAGTTGGACCCACGACATTCCTCCAAGTTGGGCCCACGACATTCCTCCCAGCTGGGCCCACGACATTCCTCCAAGTTGGGCCCACGACATTCCTCCCAGCTGGACCCACGACATTCCTCCAAGTTGGGCCCACGACATTCCTCCCAGCTGGGCCCACGACATTCCTCCAAGTTGGGCCCACGACATTCCGGCTGTTTCTGCTTCACTGACAACTGACCCATATTGTTTTTGTCCTCCTACTTTCTTCTTTCCTTAGGGATTCCAATCTAGTGTCTGTTGCTTGTTGGTTTACGCAAAATGTATCCAATCCATCTCATTTTCGATTTTGTATTTCTTTACCAATACGGTCTTGTCCAGGGTTTCTCCATATTTCGGCATAAGTCATTTGTTTCAGGCCACCTGATGTTCAATATGTGACGCAGACATCCGTTAATGAAAGTCTGAAGTCTGTTGTTATTAGCTCGTGGTACTCTCCACGTCCAAGAACAACAGAACAGATTTCACATTACTGTAAGACAGTTGTATTTTGTAAAGTTTAAACAGGGCTCTGGAAGTCTTCAGGTTGTGCGGAGGGTGTTGAATGCATACTTTGACTTCTGATACGGCTTTTGATGTCCTCGTCTGCTCCCCCATCCTTACCTACTACACTCCCTACATATGTGAAGCGATCCACTTCCGAAATAGTCATTTCTTGTAACCTTGTCGATGTACGAGTATGCTGATGTCGATGTACGAGTATGCTGATGTCGATGTACGAGTATGCTGATGTCGATGTACGAGTATGCTGATGTCGATGTACGAGTATGCTGATGTACGAGTATGCTGATGTCGATGTACAAGTATGCTGATGTCGATGTACGAGTATGCTGATGTCGATGTACGAGTATGCTGATGTCGATGTACGAGTATGCTGATGTCGATGTACGAGTATGCTGATGTCGATGTACGAGTATGCTGATGTCGATGTACGAGTATGCTGATGTACGAGTATGCTGATGTCGATGTACGAGTATGCTGATGTCGATGTACGAGTATGCTGATGTCGATGTACGAGTATGCTGATGTCGATGTACGAGTATGCTGATGTCGATGTACGAGTATGCTGCTGTCTATGTACGAGTATGCTGATGTCGATGTACGAGTATGCTGATGTCGATGTACGAGTATGCTGATGTCGATGTACGAGTATGCTGCTGTCTATGTACGAGTATGCTGCTGTCTATGTACGAGTATGCTGCTGTCTATGTACGAGTATGCTGATGTCGATGTACGAGTATGCTGATGTCGATGTACGAGTATGCTGATGTCGATGTACGAGTATGCTGATGTACGAGTATGCTGATGTCGATGTACGAGTATGCTGATGTCGATGCACGAGTATGCTGATGTCGATGTACGAGTATGCTTATGTCGATGTACAAGTATGCTGATGTCGATGTACGAGTATGCTGATGTCGATGTACGAGTATGCTGCTGTCTATGTACGAGTATGCTGATGTCGATGTACGAGTATGCTGATGTCGATGTACGAGTATGCTGATGTCGATGTACGAGTATGCTGATGTACGAGTATGCTGATGTCGATGTACGAGTATGCTGATGTCGATGTACGAGTATGCTGATGTCGATGTACGAGTATGCTTATGTCGATGTACAAGTATGCTGATGTCGATGTACGAGTATGCGGATGCCGTCCACAGATTCTAGGTCCTCCAGCTGTTTGGTGAGCGTCCACTTAATTCTGGCTTTTTAATCTAAGGTTGTTCTTCTTATGATCTAGTCTACGACTTGCAAAAAGATTATTGGCGAAAACGTGCAGTCTTGACATACTCTGGTTTCACTGGCAAAGTGTTTATCTACTTGTTATTGTAGCTAATCTGACAGAGTCTACAAAGATGTTGAATGATTCGTTTTGGAGAAATCCCATAGTGGCTCATCAACTTCCAAATGACATCTCTGTCCACACTGTCAAATGACATCTCTGTCCACACTGTCAAATGACATCTCTGTCCACACTGTCAAATGACATCTCTGTCCACACTGTCAAATGACATCTCTGTCCACACTGTCAAATGACATCTCTGTCCACACTGTCAAATGACATCTCTGTCCACACTGTCAAATGACATCTCTGTCCACACTGTCAAATGACATCTCTGTCCACACTGTCAAATGACATCTCTGTCCACACTGTCAAATGACATCTCAAAATAGACAAAGCTCGGCCATATACAAACGCAATTGCAACTAGTCTGTTAAATAATTATGTGCACAGTGGCTATGTGGTCAAAAATAATATGTCCTGGCGAAAACCTGCCTGTTCTTGTCTTAATTTCTCGTCCAGTGCCCTTCACCCTCTCTTGTTCACCTTGCTAGGGGCCAGACGGTGTGTAACGTAGTTCTTAATTGTGTAGGAGAAAAACCCTTCAGTATTATAATTAGAAACAAGAAGGAGATATTCTAATTTTTTTCTTATAAGACGATCAACATTGGTAAAAAAAACATTTCATATGAAGACCACCTAAATATTGTATTTTGGCCACTATTTAACACCCATCCCATAACTTACCTTGAGAACACAGGACCCATAAAACATGAAACAGGACCCATAACACAGAACTTACCCTTAGAGAACGGCGGACCCATAAAATAGAACACAGGACCCATAAAACAGAATACAGGACCCATAAAACAGAACACAGGACCCATAAAACAGAACACAGGACCCATCAAACAGAACACAGGACCCATAAAACAGAACACAAGACCCATAAAACAGAACACAGGACCCATAAAACAGAACACAGGACCCATAAAACAGAACACAGGACCCATAAAACAGAACACATGACCCATAAAACAGAACACAGGACCCATAAAACAGAACACAGGACTCATAAAACAGAACACAGGACCCATAAAACAGAATACAGGACCCATAAAACAGAATACAGGACTCATAAAACAGAACACAGGACCCATAAAACAGAACACAGTACCCATAAAACAGAATACAGGACCCATAAAACAGAATACAGGACCCATAAAACAGAACTTACCCTGACTGGCATATGCTCAAGTCTAACCCAAAAAAGCGACCGGAATTCTTTTATAGATGAGCTAATGCAATTGTTTAAATCTAGATAAGTCAAGTGGTTGTTGGATTACAGGGTTAATCCTTCGGAGAATCTTGGCCGCACCACCTGATACCGCTGCTGTAGACAAATGAAAATCTGTATCAGATGAGACGTGAAATATGATCAGCTGTTCAACATAGCAGGACAGCTGTGGTGTTGGTTGTGGTGTCAACAATAACTTGGACAACATGGCAGGACAGCTGTGGTGTTGGTTGTAGTGTCAGTTATAACTTGGACAACATAGCAGGACAGCTGTGGTGTTGGTTGTAGTGTCAGCAATAACTTGGACAACATAGCAGGACAGCTGTGGTGTTGGTTGTAGTGTCAGCAATAACTTGGACAACATAGCAGGACAGCTGTGGTGTTGGTTGTAGTGTCAGTTATAACTTGGACAACATAGCAGGACAGCTGTGGTGTTGGTTGTAGTGTCAGTTATAACTTGGACAACATAGCAGGACAGCTGTGGTGTTGGTTGTAGTGTCAGCAATAACTTGGACAACAAGGCAGGACAGCTGTGGTGTTGGTTGTAGTGTCAGCAATAACTTGGACAACATTCACGATCAACCAGCTGGGTCCATTCTTGTCTTTGTGCCAATGCTTGCCTCAGCCCCCCCCCCCACCAACAACACACTCGCCCGAGATGGTCAAAAGAAAGCGGGTGTCATGTGGTAGTTTGATAGAAAACATCATCTTCTCGAATGTCGCCATGGCAACGATAAACATGGGAGAGTGTTGTGATCATCATTAATGGTTGTTGGGATAGGGAGAGCGAAATTCATGTTTGTTAGTATAGGGAGAGCGACATTACACACTCCCCGGGCAAGTACAGACAAGTTGGTACACGCAGATGAATTATATCCTGTACAACACAACCACCCCACAGATTAATTATATCCTGAACAATACCCCCACCCAATAGATTAATTATATCCTGAACAACACAACCACCCCACAGATGAATTATATCCTGTACAACACAACCACCCCACAGATTAATTATATCCTGTACAACACAACCACCCCACAGATTAATTATATCCTGTACAACACAACCACCCCACAGATTAATTATATCCTGTACAACACAACCACCCCACAGATTAATTATATCCTGTACAACACAACCACCCCACAGATTAATTATATCCTGTACAACACAACCACCCCACAGATTAATTATATCCTGAACAATACCCCCACCCTATAGATTAATTATATCCTGTACAACACAACCACCCCACAGATTAATTATATCCTGAACAATACCCCCACCCTATAGATTAATTATATCCTATACAACACAACCACCCCACAGATTAATTATATCCTGTACAACACAACCACCCCACAGATTAATTATATCCTGAACAATACCCCCACCCTATAGATTAATTATATCCTGTACAACACAACCACCCCACAGATTAATTATATCCTGAACAATACCCCCACCCTATAGATTAATTATATCCTATACAACACAACCACCCCACAGATTAATTATATCCTGTACAACACAACCACCCCACAGATTAATTATATCCTGAACAATACCCCCACCCTATAGATTAATTATATCCTGTACAACGCAACCACCCCACAGATTAATTATATCCTGTACAACACAACCACCCCACAGATTAATTATATCCTGTACAACACAACCACCCCACAGATTAATTATATCCTGAACAATACCCCCACCCTATAGATTAATTATATCCTGTACAACACAACCACCCCACAGATTAATTATATCCTGAACAATACCCCCACCCTATAGATTAATTATATCCTGTACAACACAACCACCCCACAGATTAATTATATCCTGAACAATACCCCCACCCTATAGATTAATTATATCCTGTACAACACAACCACCCCACAGATTAATTATATCCTGAACAATACCCCCACCCTATAGATTAATTATATCCTGTACAACACAACCACCCCACAGATTAATTATATCCTGTACAACACAACCACCCCACAGATTAATTATATCCTGAACAATACCCCCACCCTATAGATTAATTATATCCTGTACAACACAACCACCCCACAGATTAATTATATCCTGAACAATACCCCCACCCTATAGATTAATTATATCCTATACAACACAACCACCCCACAGATTAATTATATCCTGTACAACACAACCACCCCACAGATTAATTATATCCTGAACAATACCCCCACCCTATAGATTAATTATATCCTGTACAACACAACCACCCCACAGATTAATTATATCCTGTACAACACAACCACCCCACAGATTAATTATATCCTGTACAACACAACCACCCCACAGATTAATTATATCCTGAACAATACCCCCACCCTATAGATTAATTATATCCTGTACAACACAACCACCCCACAGATTAATTATATCCTGAACAATACCCCCACCCTATAGATTAATTATATCCTGTACAACACAACCACCCCACAGATTAATTATATCCTGTACAACACAACCACCCCACAGATTAATTATATCCTGAACAATACCCCCACCCTATAGATTAATTATATCCTGTACAACACAACCACCCCACAGATTAATTATATCCTGAACAATACCCCCACCCTATAGATTAATTATATCCTATACAACACAACCACCCCACAGATTAATTATATCCTGAACAATACCCCCACCCTATAGATTAATTATATCCTGTACAATACCACCACCCCACAGATTAATTATATCCTGTACAACACAACCACCCCACAGATTAATTATATCCTGAACAATACCCCCACCCTATAGATTAATTATATCCTGTACAACACAACCACCCCACAGATTAATTATATCCTGAACAATACCCCCACCCAATAGATTAATTATATCCTGAACAATACCCCCATCCTATAGATTAATTATATCCTGTACAATACCACCACCCCACAGATTAATTATATCCTGTACAATACCCCACCCCACAGATTAATTATATCCTGTACAATACCCCACCCCACAGATTAATTATATCCTGTACAATACCACACAGATTAATTATATCCTGTACAATACCCCACACCACAGATTAATTATATTCTGTACAACACCCCCACACCACAGATTAATTATATTCTGTACAACACCCCCACACCACAGATTAATTATATTCTGTACAACACCCCCACACCACAGATCAATTATATCCTGTACAATACCCACACACCATAGATTAAAGCATATATCCTAATATACAAATTCCATCTCGTTCGAGGGGTGGGGGGGGGGTAAACTTTCGTCGAAGAGATGAAAACCATGAGCAATCATACAGCCATCCAAAGTTTCTCTTACTATTACTTTTACATCCAATATGTTAAAAATAAACACTCAAAAGAACAATAACAACATACAATCAAAATTGTATATCTATGTTTATTACATGCTTTCATTTAGCTTGCTCAGTATGTTTGTGTATGTGTGTGGCTTCATAAATCGCATAATCGTAATTTTACCCATTTCCCATTGTCCAAGTGAGCTGAAATTTGGCACAGTGGTAGATCTAAGATGACAACAAAAGAATATCGCACTTTTTAAAATCAATTAGATAGACAATTGGCCATTACAATTTAATTTTAAAATTACTTATTTCAGTTTTAAAGGGTAGATAACAATATAAAACAATAAAACAAATATTTAAAAAACCTTTATAGTTATAGCAACAAGCTTTTGAATGCACCGATAATAAGAAAATAAAACTAATTTGCTTTCTTTAATAAGCTTTTGTCGCTAAAATATGTAAAAGATCTCATGAGCGACCAGTAGCGTAGCGAGGGGGGGGGGGGGCGGGGGGGGGGGGACATATGTCCCCGGGCGCCGACCTTAGGGGGGGGGGGTGCAAATGAAAAGTTCGAGGGGAGGGTGCAAATCGAAAGTTTGAGGGGGGGGGGGTGCAAATGAAAAGTTCGAGGGGGGTGGGTGCAAATCGAAAATTTGCTCCCAAGGGGGCGCCAAATTGAAAGTATGTCCCCGGGCGCCGGGAAGGGTCGCTACGCCCCTGTGAGCGACCAACGATTTTATCAAAGAAAGCAGTTTTTAATCTTATTTTCAGTCCATTGAAAATCTTGTTGCTATAGAAGTTGTTTTTTTTTTTTTTAATTTTTATTTTCTACTTTTAAGAATTCATGAATTTTAGAGATCACGTGCTTCTGGACGGATTTTATCGCAAATAGTTTTTTTATCCCAAATAGTTTTATCGCAAATAGTTTTTATCGCAAATAGTTTTTATCGCAAATAGTTTGTATCGCAAATAGTTTTTATCGCAAATAGTTTTTTTTATCGCAAATAGTTTTTTAACGCAAATAGTTTTTATCGCAAATAGTTTGTTATCGTAAATAGTTTTTTTTAACGCAAATAGTTTTTTATCGCAAATAGTTTTTTATCGCAAATAGTTTTTTACTTTCTCGTATATACAAAGTATAGAAAAAGTCTTGTAATCGTACCAAAAAAAAAAATCGAGATTTTTACAAATCTTGACGTTTTACACCACACTGTGTGTCTGTGTGTGTGTGTCTGTCTGTGTGTAAACACGATAACTTAGGTACCGTTACAGCTAGGTTGATGAAATTTTATATATAAGTATTTTATCAAAATCGTAGATCCGTATCAACTTTTGAGCGATTTCCGATTACCGGAAGTGAAACTTTTTCTACTTTGAATGTTTCAAAAGCCTATAACTTGAGTACTATTTCAGATAGATCAGGGGTCGGCAACCTGCGGCTCGCGAGCCGCATGCAGAGGCGTAGCGACCCTTCCCGGCGCCCGGGGACAAACTTTTCGATTTGCACCCCCCCCCCCCCCCTCAAGATTTTGATTTGCACCCTTCCCCCTCAAACTTTCGATTTGCACCCCCCCCCCCCTCGAGATTTTGATTTGCACCCCCCCCCCCCCCTTCAAACTTTCAATTTGCACCCCCCTCAACCTTTCAATCTATTTTTCCA